CTAATCGGGTACTCCCGACTAGGGCATAGACTAAGCCCTCGTTCGCATTAGAAAAAAATAAAAATAAATTTAAAAAAAGAATGTCCTCGACCTCACGCCTTGCCGCCGCCACTACAAAACATTCACACCAATAGCAGCACAGAAAAGAATGTAATGAATGTGTTTTTGTACATGTACATGTACATGTTGTAATAGTGTAATAAATAGTAATGATTTATTTTTTTAAGTTCTTGGTGGTTTGCCTCTTTTTCACCACAACGCCTTCTTTATTCCGCGGCTGTAGATAGACTGCCTCACACTTCATCTCGGCAGCCTTTCTTATTGATATTTATTTCATTATCGATATATACTTATGATGCTGTTATTCTTAACATAGATAGCTACACTATAATAACATAACTAGGGCTACACATGACGATCTTATCCTATTACAACTCGTCCATTCTGTCAAAGAGAGCTCCTGATCTCTGTATTTTATATGTATACCTATCTTAATAACTCTTTAATGCGTATTTACTATTTTCGAATCCAATGCTTAAAGTTTTGGCTATTCCAGACACCAACATACGGGTTGCGAGATAATTGAAAGATTGAAAGATAATCACCTATTATTTAGTCACCATTATATTTTAATGATACTTTCTTCTTTTTATTAATGCGCTCCTCATTTCTGACTTGAGCTTTTTTTTCACATGTTTCCCCACTCTTTCTAATATTTTCCAAATTTTTTGTATCGAAACTGTTCACCTGTGTTAACTCTTCTAATTTTTCGTTTAATTCATCACAAATTTTTCCTTTCTGTTGTAATCCGAATAACATTTCGTTTGGTAAATATCTTTATACTTTTGTGTTGTGTGTTGATTATTGCATATTCAACCTCTTCCACAATAACATCCAAATGTAATCCCTTTTCTGATTCCGCCATTTTTGCAATCATCGGACCCAGATCCCTATTTAATCTTTCCATCTGCCCATTTGCTTGCGGGCATCCAGTTGCTTTTTTAATATGTGTTGCTCCCTCATTATTTAAAAATTCCTCAAAATCCTTTGCAGTAAAACAACTTCCTCTATCCGATATAATTAACTTAGGTCGGCAATAAGCTCTGAAATAATCCTTTAATGCACTAATCGCTTCTTTCGAACTTGTTGTCTTTGCTGTGTATAGTCTAACAAATTTGGAAAATCCGTCAACCACCGCAAATATATATTTATAAGCTCTTCCTGCATTAATTGGTCCGTAATGGTCTATATGGACCATCTCCCATGGTTTGTTTCCTTTCGGTATGCTATGTAGTAGTCCTTTACTCTTGCCCGACTTGGGGGCGAAAGCAATGCATTTTAAACAATTTCCTATATGTTTTATTGCTTTTTCCTTCATATGTGGGAACGAAAAACTCTTTCCAATAGCATTAATCATCTTATCTCTTCCTGCATGTCCCAACTCATCATGATATTTGTAAAGGACATGTTCTTCCATATCCGTTGGTACATAAAAAACTAATCTGCTATCATTTGTCTTACTGTATATGACCCCATTTCTCATTTCAAATAGCTTATGCTCTTCTTTTAACAGCTTCCTAATATCCACTAGTTTTTCATCTTTGCCTTGGCAAATAACCAAATTATCCTCAAAACTATTTGATTCAATAACTAAAATATCCTCATAACATCTGCTTAACGTATGTTGCATTTGTTTACCCGATTTATGCACTAATTCAAAATCATAATTTTGTAGCTCTAGCGCCCATCTAGCAATTCTCGGATTTAAATCTATTTTGTTAATCGTTAAAGTTAAAGAGTTGCAATCTGTCATTATTTTAAATCGTCTTGCCTGCAGATATATACGAAATCTACGTAATGCATAAATTATAGCTACCGTTTCTAACTCAAAACTATGATATTTAGACTCAATCTGTCTTGTTCTTTTAGAAAAATAAAAAACCGGATGTAACTTTCTATCTTCTTTCTTTTGAAATAATACCGCCCCAAATCCCAATTCACTACCATCACAATGTTGTTCTATTTCTTCTTTGTAATTATATATTAATAGTACTGGCGCCTCTAACAATTTGTCTTTTAACATATTGAAACACTTAAGCTCCTCTTCTCCAAACTTGAATTTCTTATATTTTTTAAATAAATCATATAAGGGCTTACCTAATATAGAAAAGTCAAGAATAAACCTCCTGAAGTAGGAGAATAACCCCAAGAAACTTTGCACTCCCTGATTTTTGTTTGGTATTGGAAAGGATTTTACCGCTTCTAATCCTTTTTCATTTGCCCTTATGCCCTACTATCCACTTAAAGTACTAAATATTCAACGCTGCTTTTAAAAAATTCCCACTTGTCTAATTACAATTCTAGTTTGTTTTGAACCAGTCTTATAAAAGCTTCCTTTAAAGTCTCCATGTGTTCCTTTGAGTTTCCACTTTCGATGATAATATCATCCATATAAACAATTCCTTTATTATCTCTTATAATATCACAAAATATGTTATAAACAAATCTCTGAAATACAAGCGGCGCAGTTTTCAATCCCATTGGCATCCTAAGAAATACCCATTTGAAAATACCCATTTTGTAGGTCCAACTTTGTAAAAACTGTTTTTCCGCATAGCCTATCTAACTAATCATCGATCAATTGTAGCGCGTAGTTGTCATATAATTTTGTTCAGTCTTCTAAAATCAATATATAGTCTCATGTCTCCCGTTTTTTTTCTTCACTAGTACTATAGGCGATGCATACTCTGAACAACTAGGCCTAATAATTCCATCTTTCATGTAATCGTCCAATACTTTGTCATTTTCTAATCGTATGCTTAGCTCATGTCTTATTTTTGGCTGATTTGGCCTTATCGCTTTAGCATAAGTATTCTCTAATAAATTTTCAAATTCACACTTTATGCTATAATCAATGTCTTCACTTAACATATATGTATTTTCTGTTTTATTAAATTTCCCTTTCAAAATTCTCTTCCAACACTCCAATCCCAGTGATTTCACTATTCGCTGGAGCTTCATTAACATGATTATTATTATTTTCTGCATCGTTTCCTTTATCTTCTATAATCACTTTTTCAATCCCGGTTTGATATGACTAATTTCCTTACCCCTCCATCACTATCTCATCACCAATAGTTTCGATACTAATCACTTCCTTGCTTACTATTTCATCAGTAATTATTTTATTACTAACTATCTCATCCCAAACAACTTTATCACTAAGAGTTTTGGTACTTACAGTTTTATCACTACCTATTTCATCACTAACAATTTCGTTACCAACTATTTCATCATTACCAATTTTATCATTGAAAAATATATCTTCATTTTGCTAGTATTTGGTAACTTCATCATCCACTTCATTTTCTTCTTTCGTGTAGCTTGTAGCTTTGTTATCATTTTTAACATTATTCTGATAATCAACTTTATCCACATTCACATTTTTCAATGTTCTTAAATCAATATTCAAATCAAAAGCTTCCATAAAATCTCTGCCAAGCACAGCGTCATACCTCATAGATTCATTTGCCACAATTATAACATTAAAATAAACATTTATTAACTTTTTCTTTATATAACATAAGATTTTTCCAAGATTTCTTAGTTTACGTCCATTTAATCCTACATACGAGCTTGCATCTGGCATACGCTTAATTGCTAATGGTAGAAACTTTTCCTTTAAAAATGAAATAAGGCTGCCAGAGCCTATGAGGCATTCTGCAATTATTGATTTCTTAAATGAGTTACTAAAAGGAATTCTTAAGTATCTTACATATTTGTTTTCCATAACAGACTTCCTATTTGGACATCCTGCTATTAGGTGATCCTTTGAACCGCACGCATTGCAAGATCCTGGCTCCCGTTTAGGCTTTAAACAATCTTTATCCCAATAGCCCTTGGCATTGCAATTGTAGCAACGTTGTTGTTTGTCCGCATGTGTTTCCTGTGCAGCTTGTTTCACTACAGTGTTTCGTGTCCGTTTAATTGGCCATTTTATAGATGCAAACGCACGTAAAATTTGAGCCGGATTGGTAAAACAATGCATACTATCTTGAATGCGCAAGTTTTCGCAACGTATGCCTCGAATAATACCCTCCATTAACTCCTCTACATCAATATTAATGTCCTGTGCCTGTGCCTCCAATATGTTTTTTTCGCTAAAGTATGTGGTGAACACCTCATTTGGTTTCCAAGCCCGATCCTCAAACTTCTGTCGTAGTTCCGACTTTGAAAATCCTCCACCGAACGCCAAAACCAATTGGTTTAGCATCTGGTCAATCGGAGCAATGATGTGCATGGAGCCACTTCAAAGCAACACTTTTCAATTTACTTGTACAAAGCAAGTGCTATTGCATCTCATTTAGCTTGTAGATTTTGGCCACATTGGAGAATTGCATTTCCCATTTACGCACCTCACCTTCTCCAGTAAATTCTAATAAAATTTCTTTGGCCAAATTCATCACTCCAGTTTCAATGCAAGCATTTAAATTGTGTCCGGCCGCTCCAGCGTGGCCAGCTGTAGCAGCGCTGCCAACTGTAACCGCGTGATCAGCTACACCAGCGTTGCCTGTCGACCGTGGTCTTTCTTCAGTGTGACCGTCTTCTAGCTGCAACAAATCGCCGACATCACTTTCCTGCTCCTAACCGATCTTAATGAAATTTTCAACAGTATATCTTATTTTACTATAGAATATATGTATATTCTCAAAAGTCAATTGCTTTAAAATTATGGCGCATACTGACGCGCAGTACAAATTGGATAGCGGGGAGGTGGCGATAGCTATAAAATATACTTGATATATATATATATATATATATATATATATATAGATATATATATATATAATATTATAGAAGATACTTGTCAAGTTTGGTGGCTCTAGCTCTAAAGACCTAAGAGATTTTCTCAGAAACTCTTATTGCACAAGCCATGAAAATTGATATACGACGACGGTAAGTATGTTGCATTTGTACAGAAACTATTTTCTTTCAACTTCAGAGAATAGAGATTTTTTTTAATCTGACAATTTGTTATTATTTATTTGTTTGGTTCTCTTAGCCAACTGTGGGCAAACCAGCGAGGCTACTGGTGGGCAGCGTATAATTTTAAGAGCAGCGTTGACATATCCTGTCCAATGACGATTGCGTTTCCTAGGCATAGCCGCTTGGTAGGAGTATGTCTTGTTAGTGTTGCCACAGCGAACCTAGCTATCATAGAGCTCTCTGGGGAATCTGCGCATTAGTTCAGAGACCCCAGACTCTATCCACAGGTAAGACACCCAAGATCTGCGTTTCGAAAATTTTTCTTCTTTGACCTAGAGTTTTGGAATCCAGGACTGTGATCGTATTAGATGTATCATCAGCTGATTACCTTCATGCAAGGATATCCGTTAAGTGAACGCAATCAAGAGGCGTGAATAATATAAAATATTGGATGTTCCTCATCGCAGCTGTTTGCTTTGGGTATCCTGGGATGGCCTGGATAAGGATTTCTTGTGTATAATATATCTCCCTGCTGTCAATTTCGTTTGATGACGGAAGTATTGCAACGCTTGGCGAAATGTACGCCATCACTTGCAAGGCTCGGTATAACTTGGAGAAGCGTTCGAAAAAGGGGATTGAGTAAGTCGTATTTGCGAGGTTTACTTTAATTTCTTTAATCGTATGTTGCAGGGGTTTTAATGGAATGTGCCATTAGTTTTGATGTAGAAGTAACAATTCTGGCCCGTAACACCACAGCTCGTTGTTACCTTGTTCGTGTGGTGGGCGCCTCTGCTTGCTCAGCTGGATTGTACGCGGATATACATAGGCCCATTAGCTGGCATTGGTGGCCTGAGTAATTTATTTGATACAAACATAGTTTATTCTTATGAAGCCAGGCTTGCAAAAATGTGTAATCTTTCGAATAGATTGACTCACAGCCAGCGGCAGGTAACTGGGGAATGAGTTATTAGGAAGACAAAGGAATGAAATTATTAATAAAGTAAAGAAATTTAAACTAGAAAGTAATTGAAAATCACCGACCCGGTGGTGGAAAATGTATAGCATGTCAGTAAGATGGTCAGTAAGATCCCGAAAGTGTCCTGAAAGCAACTATTTTATTAGAGGTAGAGAAAGTTCGGTGGAGAAAATGTGATGCAAACTGTTGTAATTTTTACATAACACGCGAAAAGAGTTGTCTATAACGTAGTCTGTTGTGCAGGTAGGTAGGAATAAGGGGCAGTAATTCCTGGTCTACACGGAACAGAGCATTGAAGACGACCTTACGGACTACCGATTGTAATACGATTAAAGATCATAAAAATACACTTTGGACAATTTAGATGCAATTTAATGGCCAAAAAGATATTTGTATATAATAGAATAAGCTTCACATATTCCGCATACGGAAGTACCCAGGCATGTGACTACTTTGTGGAACACCAGAAGTAACATGAACCTATTTAGAGGTAGTCAGCCTTAGCATTACTCTTTGGGTCCTACATATTAAACGTAAGAAGAAATCCAATTCAAAAGAGACGTTGGGGGGGGGGGGGGGGGGGGGGGGGGGGGCAACCTAATCGGTCAAGTTGAAGAAGTAATAGATCATGGTGCACTGAGTGAAACGCCTTATTGAAGTCAGTGTAAATGACATCAGTTTTTATTTTAGAAAGGAAAGCATCATCTACCAAGAAAGGAAGTTCTAGCAAATTGGTTGTAGTTGACCGATTTTTTAGAATCCATGTTGGGAGACTAGTGTCTAGAAACTACTGATTTGCACTAAGGCTGCAAATTCGAAGTTATTATTTCTTCAAATAATTTAGGGATAGCGGACAGTTTTGCCATGCTTCTGTTATATTGTATTGCAGACTTTTCACCCAAACAGATGGAAAGACAGAAGATGCAAGGGATAGATTAAAAAGCTTTAGCCTTAGAATTCCACTCTTTGAGTAGACAACTAGGAATATTGCCAGGCCCAGGAGAGTAAGAATATTTTAAAATTAAAAGCTTAAAGGAGAGACGAATGGGAAATAAAAGGAGCAGGTATACAACTATAGAAAGTAATAGTAATAGACAGAATAGGTTGATTTGAAAAAATTAGAAAAGAGATTAGTAGAATCAGAGTCAGTGCTAACTTTTTCCATCCTGATAGAATAATAAGAATTTAATGATTAACGCATCAAGCTCACAAAATATAAAATATATATATAAATATGTCTCAGATTTTGGACAAATTGTGTTTTGCATCGAAAAAGATAATTCTCATAACACTGAGATTACATCAGAAAGAAGTCCGACTTGGGTATGATATATTTAGCCAAGTCTAAACTAGAACCAGACTTATTAAGCTTTTTGAAATATTTTGATTTTATATTTTAATACCCTGAACCCATTAAAAATGGGTTTTAATGGTGAACCCATTAAAAATGGCTATAAAGGTATATTGTATTTGTGCAAAATCCGAATGTATGTAACAGGCAGAAGGCAGCATCTCCGACCCCATAAAGTATATATATTCTTCATCAGCACCAATAGCCGAGTCGATCTAGCCATGTCCGTCTGTCTGTCTGTCCGTCCGTCCGTCCGTCCGTCTGTCCGTATGTATGAACGCAAGGATCTCAGAACCTATAAGAGCTAGATACTTAAAATTTTAGATGTAGATGCTCCTAGTGCCTGCGCAAATCGAGTTTGTTTCCGATAATCGATATCCTGTTTTTTGGGCGATTTTGGTAAATAATAAGAGCTAGAGTCACCAAACATAACATATATCTTCTAAAATAGAATATATATATGTATTTAATGCTGAAAGAAGAGGGTTCAGGGTATCCCCTAGTCGGGAGCTCCCGACTAGAACCTCTTACTTGTTTATGGTATGGATGGTGCTAAAGCTAAAACACAAAAAAGCCAAAACTATCTCACGAAAAACTATTAGCGCAGATTATAATTCGTAAAAAAAAGTTACTGGAAAACGAAGCTTTATTATCTGCAATCTATATGGACCCACGGATTAATTTAATTCTAACAGCCAAAAATAAAAGTGAGCAAAACAAAATTAAAACAAAAAATTACACTTCGTGTTTTTGAACTAAAGCAAGTTAAACAAAACAAGTTTGGATATGTAAGCGTCTGGCAACCTCGACCCAAGACCATTCACAGCGAGTCGATAATGATGCGAAGCAAAGCAGAAAACTAATAAGGGAAGATGACAGACTATATTTAAGAATATAAGTTCATAAGCCAATCTTTGTTAAGCTAACGACATTCAACCATCATATCCTTTACCGATGTTTGTATAGCGAATATCACGCAGTCAACCTGACGATCTTACAGGTCAGAAGTGGGATATATGTATGCAGTGTTCGCCTAGACACATACACAAACTCATGCAGAGAAGAAACGCATAGGAGTCTTGATGAGACGTTTGCAGTGGGATATGTTCCCAAAGGTCTAAGCGACAACGGATACTGCAAGCTGAGATAGGCTTCCCGATCTTAGCGTCAGACTGTTTCGTAAATTGGAATACGTTTCCCCCAGCTTCTGTGTGTATAAGTAAAAATAGAAGCCCTGTATGTACGCATGTGTTGGAGAATTTCACAAGGGAATTTCATCATTCAATTACACAACTTGAGCTAACAGTGCGATTGCTGTTGCGAAGCAATTGACAGGGGAGTTGGCATCATTTTGTACGAGCACTTCGTAGACAAAAATTGAAAAGGAAAAACAAAATGAAGTTGGAAATATGCAAAGGATAGGAAATTGAAAAGTGAATAAGCTAAAATTTCTTTTGCGAGAGCGTGAGTTGTCGACAAGTGGCACACGGAATGAAATAATTCGACGATCACAGGAGCATGAAGGGTCAGAGGAGGTTCATGAAGCAGAAGAGGGAGGAACAATTTATCAGCTGCAAAATTAAATAAAAAGGTTAAGTGAGATAATGTCAGTTTATAAGCATGCAATGCGCTACCGCTAGTGGACAACTGCCGAATTCGCAACCAGCTATAAAAAACTTAATGCAAGATACAGAAAGCGAGGTAGATGATGAGAATTTACAAACCACAAACACACGGCAAGCGTCGGTCAAAGAAATTGCCAACACGTTGCCTGAGTTTGACCCGACAGATAAGGATGCCATTTCAGTCAATCAGTTCATTGATCGTGTCAACAAAGTGGTTGAGGCCTACCAGTGGGACGAAAAGTTTTTATTGTTCGCAATCTACACTCGACTGTGGTTTGACTCTTTGCCAATACTTCATACGACATGGAACAACTTTGCAGAAATCCACTGCACCATGGCTAAATCAAATAGACGTCTCAAAGAGGCAATAAATGAATATTGTTTTTGGTATGTCCGCCCCGAGAGTTCTATTTAACAATTGTGAGGCAACTGCGAGAAACGGCTGAGTCCTATTTTGCCGATCGGGTTAGACAATCTGAAGTCAAAGACAACCCAGATTTAAAGTCAGAGAAATATTCATAGTCAATAAAACCAAAGGCAACTGTTAAATGTTATAATTGCAACGAGGTTGGTCGCTTTACAAATCAGTGTCCAAAAGACCAGAAATCTCAACGCTGTACTACTTGCAACAAATTCCACCCGAGTAAAGTGTAAGACAGCTAAAGTAAATATAAATCGTCTTGGTGCTATAAATAGAGACAAATGGTTCTCTTAACAGATAATAGTCCAAAAACAAACGTGTGTAGCTTTTATATTTACAGGCAGTCAAGTAAGCCTTGTTCGCAAGTCTGTTGCTCAGTTTATTAATCGTCAAAAATGCTCATTTCATATAAGAGTAATTTGCGGTGGTACATGTATTCTTACTGAATTAACCATTGTGTATATAATGATTGACGGAACGATCTTTAAAGCCCAAGTTTACATCGCCGATGATGAGATCGTGCAGGAAGATTTCTTGTTGTACGTCATAAGCGAAGTGCATCTCACGTTTACCTTCGAAAATGGTCAAACGACTTTTGAGAGCAATCGAACAGTTCAAAATAAGGAACAAAAATGATTCCAAATTTGCTAAACTTCTTTCTGATTTTTAGCACGAAGCTGAATGCAAACATTATGTGACAAGTCCACTGTTGAGTTTTCAAGTGTCCTTGAAGGAATTGGCCGCACAAACGTCATACAAGCCAGAATAAGCCTTGAGGGAGGACTTATTGTTTCTCAAGCACAATACCGTAAACCTGAACCGAAGCGAGATATTGTCGCCGCCATTATTGAAGAACTCCTTCAAAAAGATATAATCGCCATGTCAACATCGGAGTACGCCAGTCCTATTGTACTTTTCAAAAAGCAGAATGGAAGTGATCGTCTATGCGTCGACTACCGTCGTCTCAAAAAACTCATTAAGAAGGAAAACTATCCAGTTCCCAATATCGAAGAGCGTTTACAAAAAGCCAAAGGATTTAAATATTTTTCATCGTTAGATTTAAATCACGGATATTAACAGATTGAAGTATACGGCATTCATTACAACAGATGGACTCTTAGAATTCAAACGCATGCCAAATTCGCCAGCTGTGTTTAACTGACTTATGGCAGAAATTCGAAAGCTCGTTTTTAACGGTGGGTATGTTGCACTATATGGATGACATTCTTATTAGAAGCAATTCATTAGACGAAATGTATGGAAAGCTTACACGTGTTTTAAAAGTTTTGAAATAAAGCGGCTTGACATAGAATATTGACAAATGTAAGTTATATAAGCAGACAATAACCTTTTTAGGACATCAGATAGATATAGACATAAGGACCATTGCCATCTCTTCGTACGCTGAGCCAAGCAACGTGACTGAAGTAAGAAAGTTTTTGGGTCTCAGTGGATATTTTCAAAAGTTTGTAGCATGGTATGCGATAAATTCTGAGCCGTTGCATATGCTACTACTTAAAATTCAGTAGCTTAAATGGGATCAACAACAGAAGGGTGTATTCAAAGTATTGAAACAATGTATCATATCAAAACCAGTGCTTGCAAGCTGTCGATGGATGCTGATCACGATCATACGGATTGTAGTTCCATAGCTCCAAAGCCAACTGAAAAACTTCTAAGAGTGAATGTCACTTTCATAGCTATGAACTTGAAGCATTAGCAGTCGTCGAATCTTTGGGGCGTTTAAGTATTACATTTACGGAAAACAGATCAGAGTAATTACTGATTGTAACACATCAAGAACGTCAAACGTGAAATACAGGATGGGGGTTGCGTGTTCAAGAGTTGGAAGTAATTCAGGCTCTAGGATGGAACATGTCGATGCCTTAAGCTGTGCTCCATAAGAAAATGCACGCGAGATGGAAACAGCCAGCTTGAAGATATGCAAAACAATCATCGGTAAGGCGGATTGGTTATTTTCTATATTACTTCAAAAGATTCAAAACAAACTCATGTGAGTGGTGCCTTAGCGGTTACGGTATCAAATCCTTTATGAATAAATCAGGCCATATGAGCATCGAGAAAACAATAAGCCGTATTAGAAGTTTATTTTGGTTTCCATGTATGCGAAATGATGTCAAAGGGTATATAAAGAC